TCACATTAACAACACAAGAATAAAGCGAAAACACTCAGCAAAGAATTTAGAGTCATCACTAAATTGTGCTGCCTGTTTAATGCAGTTGGGTACCAAGCTGTATCAAAGCTATAAAGTTACTAAATTTATAAATAATTATTATTATAATAATTATTTATAAATAATAAATGTTTACTAAAAGTGGTCCAAACATTTACAAACCAATTCAATTCAATTATAAATGTTTTAATGTAACAACAGTTGCCTGAAGGTGCTTTATATTGTAACAGTAAAGATCCTATAATAATACAGAGAAACCCCAACAGTCAGACGACCCCCTATCAGCAGGCACCTGGGTGACAGTGGGAAGGAAAAACTCCAATTAAAGAGGAAGAAACCTTCAATCAGGCTCAGGGAGGACAGGCCATCTGTGGATGGTTGGGGATGAGGGGAAGAAAACAGGACAAAAGACAAACTGTGGATAAGAGCCAGGGATTAATAATAACTAATAATTAAATACAGAGAAGTATATTAACACATAATGAGTGAGAAAGCATCAGTGCATCATGGGATCATCAGGTAGACCTATTGCAGCATAACTAAGGGAGGATTCAGGGTCACCTGATCAAACACTGACTACATGCTTTAGCAAAAAAGGAAAGATTTAAGATTAATGTTGATAAGAAGAGATAGTGTCTGTCTCCTGAATCCAACCTGGAAGCTGGTTCCACAGAAGAGGGCCTGAATGATGAAGGCTCTGCCTCCCATTCTACTTTTAAATAGTCCAGGAACCGCAAGTAAGATCAGATTTGGTCTGATTATTCAAAAAACTTGTGAGAAACATTTTAAATTCAAATCTGTGTTTAACAGGAAGCCGATGAAGAGAAGCTAATATGGGAGAAATCTGCTCTCTGTACCACAGAAAGATAAATAAATACAAAGTTGAATTATGAGTGATTTCTTACATGCATACAAGCTGAGAAATAGTATTTCTTTGCAGCATTTTCGTCGTACACGGTCAAAAGCACTGGAAGTATTTTGTGCCGGTGCAGGTTTGTTGGCATACTTGCTAAACCATGTTTTTCACCTGTAAGTTCAACATTATAACGACCAGTTAAGCCTCTCACGGTGTCCACCTTTCTGCTTGTTTTTTACATTCATTTTCCTGACTCGACAACATTCAGCCGTTTTATACAAACACTCACAGCACAGAATACAACCTGACAGCTTTTGGCACCAGCAATGAGCTGTAGTTAAAAAACTCTGCAGACATCAGAAGTTGAGAAAATGCTATAAGGATTTACTAAAACTTGTCAGGTTCAATGAATATTGTTAATTGAGGTCCTTAATATTAACATGAATAAATACAATATAATAAATACAGACTGTGGGTTCTTAGACTTTTGGAGAAAATGTATCTTTAGGAATATTTGCATGCTCCACAAAGTTTTCTCAAAATGTTCTTTGTTCTAGTCAGTACAGTAACTTACATTATGAAATAAATGAAAAACACTACAGACATATATGTGTGTGTGTGATGTATATGTGTATCTGAATACTTCATGCTCTTATGACATTCGTGTGACTAAACCTGTGACAGGTGTAAAGTTTCACACCAGTTGACTCACAGTTTTCCATCTGCAGTGATAACACTTTCTCGTGTGTTTGCACCTTTTGACACATCCTGTTATCTTTGGCGAGCCAGGGAACTGTATAAAACCTGACAGAAAGACGCTCGCTCATCAGCGTTTCAGGTAAGAACCCTGACTTCAACTCCATCGTTCACATGCAGATTTTCTGATTTCCTTCAAATTTTGCATTTTAAGTACTTTAATGTGCAT